GAAGTTGCATTTAACCTGTTTCTATTGAAAGTCTCTGATTACTTTACATCTTATGTCTGACTAACTCCTAGCCTGGTGGAAACATATAGTTACTTGTGTAGATTAAAACAGCAAAAACACATACGTTAAATGAGCTTAATTCATTCAGTGGATTTATGAATTTCTTCGAACAAATCTTTTAAATCTTAATTAAAATTTCATAAATAAAATATTTTTTTAACCTGGGAGTACTAGACAGGTCTGGTGAGGACAAACACTCGCCGCCGATGACATTGGCTATTGCCAGTCGCACTATATTGTGAATTATTGGCAGAAGTTGGAATTCATGGGTTGTCTGGTCACTGGATCGGGTCTCAATGGCTGAATGATCTACTAGTTCACCTTGTAACTGGAAGCTCGTGGATTCGAACCTTGTTGGTGGGTGTGTACTGTTGTGAAAGTCTCAAACACTAGGATGAAACAACTAGCTGTCCAGTACTCCGGTGCTGGTTTTCCAATGGTTCTCTAATCGATGTCAGTAGTTCATGATCCTGTTACAAAAACTGACACTCCCCTGAAGACATTGATGTAATTTATTCCTTGTAAGCTCATGTACCTGAGTTTAACTGTGCCTGAGTTTTTAGCATGGATATCGGTAACCCAAATTTTGCAGGCCGACCATTGATATCGGGTGTGCGTCGGCAGGGGATCGAACCTCAGACCATGTGCATGGTCGGCGAGAGTCCTAACCACTGTGCCACCGATGCACGTGTCTCTTGAATGACTGATTTGCTTATTGTAGGTAGGTACTGATGAAAAGTTGTAAAATCGTGTAGTTAGTCACTCAGTGTGGCTTTGAAAATGCAACCATGCATTGATAAAGTAGGGTGGTGATTTTTATAATGAATGCCTCACTTGGATTGAAACGTGGGTAACATGTTGCTTACTTTAACCACATGATCCCCCACCCCGCAACAGGCTGTTCGTGGGGTTATGAACTTCTGAATTGTTCCTACAAAGAAGAATACTGTAAACTATTCAGTAGTACTCATTAGTTGTGGTTATCCGTTGCCTAAGTGATGATATCAGTTTATCACAAAGTCCACGTTTCTTTTTTCTTTCTTTCTCTCTCTCTCTCTAAATTCACTGTACTTTTTTCTAAAGAAACTCGTGCTTAAATATTTACTCAAAAAGAAATTATAGACAAGATGACGGGAAAATAAAGCGTCCATAGACACTGCCATATGTTGTAGTGTTCTGTCCATCTCTGTGTTGTTAGAATAAAGTTGAAGTAAGGTAGTCATGGTAGTAGTATATTGAAATTATGATGTCTATCAACATATTATGATGAAACACCATATCCTCCCTCATTCCATTTTATAATTTCCATGTGTGTGTATGAAATACAGAATTCTCGAAGTTTCTATACTACATACACTATGTACTATTGATGTTACTGCTCTTTCTTTTGGCTGTTTTTTGCACTGTGAGAAAATACTTGTACATTTTCGTGAAGAAACAGATGAATGCAACGTGCGTTTGAAGAATAAGAATAAGAAAAAAAGTGACCAAGAGTTTAATGGCACAGTTATTTTTCCATCTCACTGACATATTTCTACTCCAGTGACAAAATGGATATATATATATATATGCGTATCGATGTAGAATCTTATGTTTAAATAATTTTTCCCATCTATCATTCATCATCGGTGATTCAGTGGTATAAGAATGCCCGCAAATCCCATGCCTCAGGTGGTTTCGGTTCGACCCCTGACTGATCAGCTCCCAAACTTCATTTAGTGAACCTGATCAAGGGGGGAAGGCTAAAAATCCCACCCTGTGAAAACAAGATACCACTGCTACTGAAACTTCATAGCTGAAGCTTAAAGCCCTATGCTCCATTATTTATGTACGCCCTCATAAATGACTTGGTACGGTTGACGGTCGGAAGACTTCCCTCTTCCTTCCAAACTTCTCTCATGTGACTGCACGTTTATAGCCTCTGCCAGGTAAGTCTTATTCAATACTATCTTCACTTCGTAGGGAATGTTCCTCAGAAAAGATCTGCAGCGTTTTGTATCGTTAGTTTTATTGTGATGATGTCTTAATTTGAAATAATCTTTGTGTGTTGAGTTTACAGCCGTCAGTTGTTGTTGTTGTTGTTCACACCGATTTATTCGTCATTGTAATATGCCAACTACGCATACATAAACAAATTGACTGATGCTTTTTACAATCACATCGACTGAATTCTTTGCCATTTCCAAATTTCCCATTTACACATCGAAGACAAAACAAAAGATTCAGCGAAGAAATATATTCCTTTTCAATTTAATTAAAAAGGCGTATATTTCTTTGCCATTTCACAGTTTATTTCGACTGTGATTTCGCAGCATTGACTGACTGGTTTCAACATAGAACTAGTTTTGCACAGATGTGCACCACTTCAACTCCCTACACTCCCTCCTTCTACCTCACAAAGCAACAGAAGAGAGTAAAGAGATATTCAATAGTGAGAGGTAAAAATCAGAAGTGTGAGGGGAAAAAATAATATGGAAGAACAATACAGTTTTATTGGACGGATATGACAAATCACTCACAAAGAGTGATGAACACATCTACGTCATCATCGAGAACGAGGATTTTCAGATATATCACCATTTGTCTCCAACCCACACACACACCCCACTATGATTCTCACCATCCCGAGGACCATAACCAACCAGTCAGTCCGCCAGTATACACCTCCCAATGCAGCTGGCTGGTTCAAACTAACTCTCATGGATTTCGTTGACTGATGAAGCCATGTTTTCGTTTGACCATTGCTAGCAGCTCTTCTCCAACATGATCGATCTCATGTCAGTCAGCTAACATTGCCTGTCATTCCATATTAGCTTGTGAAACAGTATTATTTACTGGATGACGTTTCGAACAAAAATTTATTGTTCATTATCATATCGATTATAATAATAGCTGATATAATTATGAACAATAAATTTTGTTCGACACGTCATCCAGTATGTAATAATACTGTTTCACTGTGTGATGCATCTAATCAACAAACTAATATGGAATGACTTACAACCACAGTGCCCAACTTTTACACATATATTAACATTGCCTGTCGTTGAGAAAGGCTTGAAATGGCTAGAAATGCATGCATAACACATGTCCTAACCATCTCACTCAATCGATGTAGCCGCTTCACAACCTCCTCGACTGATTTACCCTCCTCACCTAACACTCGACCCATGACTAACCTCATTACTAATCACATTGTTACATCCACCATCTAACACGGGAGGTCGATGGAACGCAAACACCTATGACCAAAGACAGCTAGTCAGGCTTTTCATGTCTTCTACTTTCAATGACCATGTCTCACTGACAGAGAGCCATCAGGGAGGACGGGGCGAACTGTTGCTGATTAGTACACGCACATGTCCTTTGATCGATAGCCAACCGGATATTATGTCTACTAAGCGAGAAATGGCGTATGTTGGTAAATGGCGAACGAACCTTCTGTATCCGTGCTGAGATTTCGTCAACGACCAACTCGCTGGGCTCGTGGATGCAACTTCGCAAATAAGTGAAGTTGTCAACAAGCTCAGCCAGCCACCGCTTCACTGCTGCCTATTTGTAAGCTAAGATTGAGTCGATTTAGTCCAGTCCTGTAGCATCATCTTCCATTTGACAGCAGGAGGGAATCGCATGCCAAACATTCGAAGATTGCTGCTCAAATTTTGCAATATACGACTGGTATGTTAAATACACCTTAATACAGGTAGGTACATCTAACTGAAAATAACTTGAACAACCGATAAATATCTCTTAACAATTTTCACAAAACTGAATTATGTTGAATTCCTTTAACACTTGTTGAGTTTTTGTTTTGATTCCATACTCGTTACTTCCTTATTGTAAATTACACATTTTTTCGAACGCATAGTTTCTTCGAAAGCAGACATATGCAAAAGTCGACCAATTGCTTGTAATTTTTATAATTTTGCTTTGTTTATTTAACTATAATTACTTTAAATGTGTTAGGCATTCTGTATTTATAATGTTCATATGGATTTATTGTAAAGTTATTCTTCGGGGTACCTGAAACAGAAAGAGAGTTAGTGTTGCGTGACCGCAGAGCCCTGGGGACAACTGCTTGAGGCCGGTCACACACAGTCTGTATGAACTGGTGTCTTGGATTGGTTCCGTACTAGTAACTTACCGCCGGTTACGAACCACCGTAGGATAAGTCGGGATGTACAATTGTTGGGGTCGACCTTTTCTAACCCCCTCTCTCCAGAGTGAAGAGACAGCATAGCTGGCATGCTGGTCATCTGAGGGAAACACCTCACTGCTGTTGCATCCCTGTTCTTCAGCAGTACGACTTCGCCCACAGACTCTCAGCATAGTGTAAAAAAACTTTATACTATGCCGGTAACTGCTTTCAGTCTAATCGTTATCCTAACAGTCTTCCTGGCATGGTAGGACCTACAGGAACAAAAGTTCCAGCCAGTGTAGCTTGTTGGGTCACTGCGATATGCAATCCCGACCACTATGTCAAGGTAACAGCTGTCAGTTGGGGAGACAATTAGTGATATGGCTCAAAATCCTCGTTCTCAATAGCGCAGATGCATCCACTCTATTGTTCTTCCATATTACTATTCTTTTTGCCTCATATCTCTCTTTATCATCTCTGTTTTGAATCTCATTTTACTCTCTCCTTTTGCTTTGTGTGCTAAGTGAAGTGTGGCGACTCGAACTGCTACACATCTGTGTAAACTAGTTCTACGTTGAAACCAGTCAGTCATTGTAAAATGAAGTAGAATCACCCTCAGCATATATCTTGGGAATTTCTATTAATGAGTGATGTGAATTCCTCCTCATAGGAGGGATGATCATCGGTCTTATACACTGTCAACTGGTATAATTTGCAGCACAGGCGAAATATGGTTGTTTTTTTCCTTCCGAAATTATTTATGTGCTATTAATGTGTTTTTTTTAATTTTTATTTGTTTTAGGTATTTTGAATTGAAGTTGGCAAGTTTGCCTGCTTCCAACGAGAAATTTCATCTGTATATTAGGTAAGTAAGTAACTGTCATCGTTGTAACGGTTCAAATATGTTATTCCCTTGGGTTCCAAGTGGGACATGGGTCTTCAGCACGAAATCTTTGTTATTATTATTGTTTCCTTTAATTCCTACAGGAACATAGGGCTTCAGCCATGCGTCTCCATTGCGTTCGGTTCTCTGCTAGAGTCTTCACCTGGCTCCAAGTCTGCCCACACGCTTTCATCTCCTCTTCACATGACCTCCTCCAAGTCACCCACCCTCGCACTGACGACCAACTCGCCGCCTCCCTTTCGGGTTCCACTCGAGCAATGGCTTGTCTAGTGATGTCACTTGATGGATTGTTTCCTCAGAGTATGGCCAGCCAATCCATCTCTATTTCTTCCTGCCTATTTGTTTCACAATCGGTTCCTGGTTGGTTCGCTCATTGCCAGAGATCTCTGTTGCTGATCTTTTCTGGCCGGCTGGCCATCTGATCTTGAGTAGTATTGAGCGAAGACAACTGTTAATGAAGGTCTGTAGTTTGTTTGAGATGCTCTTTATGACGCGAAGTGCAAGTCTCTGATCCGTACAGTAGCACTGACTTCACATTGGAGTTGAAAATCCAGATGTTATTTTTGATGCTGAGTGTTGTTGACCTCCACACAGACTTGAGAGTAGTGAAAGCTTGTCTTGCTTTTCCGATTCTTGCTTTGATATCCTCGTCAGTTCCGTCTGCCTGTAGTTGAAACGATGCTTCCCAGATAGGTGGGTGAAGGAGGTTGTTTCTTTCAGGTTCCTCCCATTTATGCTGGCTGATTGTTGTCTGTTGTTGCTGTTGGTATAGTTGCCCAGGAGTCTTCATCACCTCTGTTTTCTCTATGTTTACCTGAAGTCCTACTTCTCTGGATGCTTCTTCTGCGAACTTGTTGCTTTTCGCTTGCATATCTTCCAGTTTGTGGGAAATCAGACATATATCATCGGCGAAGTCCAGATCCCCCAAGTGTTTTGTGTGAGTCCATTTTATGCCTGTTTCCTCATTGCCCGCTGTTTGTCGCACTCTTTTCTCTGCAGCCTTTTTTTAGCTGGCTACACGATTATCTAGAAGATTTCATTTCCCCATCATCACAAAGCCTCCTTCCTGCTTGTCACCCTATACTATAGGACTAGGACATTCAACTCTTTTCCTATACCGATTTCTACTCTATTGTACAATATCGGTCAACAGTGTCTTCAGCGTATATCCTTTCAATTTCCATTTCCTAATGAATATTTTTTGAGTGATAGCTTTTTGATTGGTTCATTGACAGAGTTCTACGTTGCTTATCCTTTCCAGTCATCTGATCTTCAAGGTGGAAGTAGTGAAGCCAGTTGTTGATGAAAGAAAATCTGCAATTTGTTTGAAATTTTTCGGCAACACGTGACAAGTTTTCGAGCCATGCATGAGCATGAACTTTACATATTAGCTATGAATATCTGGATCTTGTTCCTTATGCTGAGTCCAGGAGGTTTTCGTACTACCTTCAGAATATATCAATGTTTATGTCTCTCTTTCCTCTAAACGTGTCTTTGACATCCTGACCTGTGCTGCCTGTAGTCTACAGAATGCTGCCTAAGATTAATGAAAGAAGTGACATTCTTTACATATCCCCCCGCTGATAGCGTATTGATGCTTTTTGTTATCGATTGGGTATTATTATTATTATTATTGTTCCCTTGGGTTCCTAGTGGAAACTAGGGCTTCAACTACACGTCTCCACTTGCTTCTGTCTTCTGCTGTACTTTTCACCTTCGTCCATGTTAATCCATACTGTTTCAATTCCTCTTCACATGATCTCCTCCATGTCACCCTTGGACGTCCCACTCGCCGCTTCCCTTTCGGGTTCCTTTCGAGCAATGGCCTGACGCGTGATGTCACCCAGCGGCCTCCTCAGCCAGTGAGTGTCCAATCCATCTCCACTTTCTCCTGCATATTTGTTGGGCGATTGGTCCCTGTTTTGTTTGTTCCCATAGTTTCTTGTTGGTGATTCTTTCTGGCCATGTGATCTTCAGTATAGAGCCAAGACAGTTGTTGATAAAGGTCTGCAACAGGCTGTTGGAAATATTCTTTGTGACTCGCCAAGTTTCTAATCCGTATAGAAGAACTGACTGACTTGACGTTTGTATTGAAAATCCGAATTTTGTTGTTGATGCAGGCTGAGTGACGAAGATTTCCAGATTGGTTTCAGGTTGATGAATGTGTTTCTCGCCTTCCCGATTCTCGCTCGATTTGACATCTTCATCCGTTTATCCTGTAGTTGAGACAATGCTCCCTAGATAAGTGAATGAAGTAACCTCTTTCAAATTCCTCCCGTTGATGGTGATTGGCGGTGGATGTTGCTGCTGCTGTTGTTGTTGTTGGTTGGTTGTTTATTTTCATAACCTCCGTCTTGTCTATGTTCACCTGGAGTCCTGTCTTCTCTGACTGCTTCTTCGACCAGTTTGTCGGTTTTCGCTTGTAAGTCTTCGATCTTGTGTGACATCAAACATAAATCATCCACGCGCGAAATCCAGGTCTTCTAGGTTCTTCACATCGGTTCAGGATATCCCTGTCTTCTCGTTTCCCACTGTCTGACGCATAATCCAGTCCACCACAATTAGGTTGATTAGGTATCCTTATCACTTTTTGTCTTCGCTATGTTCACTTGAATTTCTGCCTTTGCTGACAGCCTCTCTTATTCCAGCCTGTTTATTTTCGCCTGTAGATCTTTGAGTTCGTGTAGCATTAAGCACAAATCATCAGCCAAATCCAGGTCTTCCAGAGTCTTCTTGTCAGTTCAACCCATTTATATATACATATATATATGCACAGTCAGTCACTTACGTCACTATGTTACATAATGCTGCTAAGCACAGCATGATGCACTGTAATTTACACACCTGATGTTGGCTGGTACTCACCATCCAAACCAATCAATACTATATAGCATTGCTTTTATTCATAAAATGTAGACATACACACAGATTCAATAGAAAAGTTATCGGTCATTAAATTGTAATTAAGATTATTTATGATTGTATATCCTTTTTAAAATGAAGCTTAGGACAAAAGATGTTTTCTTCTGTCTGTGTAAACACTTGAGTCTCTCCACTGCTGGTTACCAAATTCAAATTGAAATATTGGAGAAGATTTGTAGCGCTGAAGATGTTGACTAGAAGAATAATGGAAGCTTCACAATTAAACTGCCTAGCTCAGAGATAAAAGCACAAATTATATCTACCTTACGCTGGACAAATGACTAGTAACACGATTCTTATCATGTCAAATGTGAATTTTAATGTGGTATATAAAATACGTTGTTTTTGATGTGGTTGTGTTCTCTGAGCTGGACAGTTAATTTGCGAAGCTTTCATCGCCCTACTAGGCGACATCTTCAGCGCATACTTCAATTCGTTGAAGTGAGCTTTTAGATTTCTCCACGAGTTTATTATTCATCTCTCCTGGCGATCTTCGACGTGATTGGTTGTTTTTGTGTGGTTTCACACCTTCCAGGCTACTTGTATTGGAACTCATTGTTTCTTTGACTTGAACTTTGACCCTTTGTGTGTGAATATTCTTTCTTATCGGTTGATAAATTTTGTCTATTTCGATGTGTCTATTGATTGATGATTCACTGGAATGCTAAGCTTCTAAAAATTCTCTAGCATTCTTGTTGTTTCCTCTGTCTAATATTTGAACGTTGTCCCAGTCGAATTGATGTCCGTGATTGTCTGTATGTAGTGATATGAGGGAGTGGATATCATGTCTTTTGACGACTCGTTTATGTTCGTGGATACGAAAATGAAGGGGACGTCCACTTTGTCCAATGTAGTGTTTTTCGCAGTTGATACAATTTATTTTGTAGATGATGTTGGTTTTATCTTCCTTCGCTGTTGAATCTTTTGGTTGACATAGAATTGAGTGAATTGACTTTGTTGGTTTGTGTACGACGTCAATTCCTAAAGGTTTGAAGAGTCTTATAGTCTCTATCATATCTAAAATACGTTGTGTCAGATAACTAACATGTGGAGGATTCGTGTTACGTATTCCGTTGGATATATATATATATATATATATATACATTTCCATATCCATGTTTGTTGTTCACCAGTGCACTTTAATGCACTAATCTATTTATTCACTTTGAAACCTGTAATTGTTGAACACCAGTATTTTTCTTTAAGGACTTCCCAACAGTTTTATCCGATTGCTGCTCTGTGCCCATTGATTTACGGTAGTAATAAGTGCGAAACATAAGTGTTCACTATTTGCACTTTTCTAAAAACCCTACGCGTAAACTTAGCGATTAGATTTGTCAAAAGGAGATGGTTTACAGTTGTATGAGACTATATACCACAGAGTTTCAGAAGATCGATAGGACTTTACACTTTTCTTTAGTCATACCAGAATATAGAATAGTTTGGAATCCATCTGTAACGACCAAATTTATTCCGTTACAATCTGAATGCAAGAAACTCATCTCTAAGTTCTACTGCATATCTGAAAAAGCTTCGTTGAGACACGTGCTATCACGAAACGTTACAAACACAGGGAAAAGACGATTATTCTCTAATATTTTAGCCGTTCTAATAATAACAGTGAAACTCAAATTCACTTCAACGGTGCTGTGAAGCAGGTATACAGGCAATGCAGGTTTCTAAATACAAAACAAGTACTGTAGGAAAAAATTAGTTCACCAAAGTTCAACTGTAAAAGGTAGCTTAGAATCAAGGAGGATATTCTCAAAAGCTCTGTCCACAAGAGTCACACGCCAAAGCTTCACAGAGAAAATCCCGATTCCGGATGATCTTCATCCACTCAAATAAACTGATATCGTCAAACAACACACATTGTCGATGTACACACAACCACAAAGAAAAGTATTACAACTAAAGATTAAACAAGGACAAAGGCAAATAAGAGAAAGGTCAAAAATCAGCATGTGACATGCAAATGTCAAACTAGTACACCGATTCCCTACTAGCTTAAAAATAGGCCGCAGTGAAGCGGTGACTGG